AAGCGAAAGCGAGTGAGCCGCTGAATACATGGTGGTGCTGGCGAGACAGGCGCGGGGGGAGGGGGAGAATGGAAGGGGAGGTCACTGAACGGGAGGCGTTTGGGGAGGGAGGGGGAGGAGGAGGGAGAAGAAGAAGGGCACGTGACGTATGGGGCCGGTGGGAGGAAGGAGGAGGCACGGGATGGTTGGCGCATGAAAGGCATGACTGGGTACGTGCTAACACAGCACTGCGGTGGGAGAGGCGAGGGATGGGCGAGAGTGGGGAGACGGGAGAGGGGAGGGTGGGGTGAGAGGAGGGTGGGATGGAGGGAAGGGGGGGGATGTGAGGGTGATAGGAGAGCTAAGCCCACCAGGTGGTCACACTCACATCCATTCCCCAGTCTGTCTTCCCTTCCATGTCCCCCCATCCATCCTTCTATGCCCCTTCTTTTCCCACCCTGCTACGCCCACCAGGTGCTGATCGTCCCCCCTCCTCTTTCCACATACCCTCTTCCCTCTCCACGTCCCTCATCCCCTCTCAATTCCTCCCTACCCTGACCATACCCCCGCTCCCCCCTTCGTATGGGTGCATGGAAGGAGATCCCTCCTTTTCCTCTCCCCTCTTATATCAAGCCCTCTTAAGTCACTCCCCGTTCCTCTCCTGCCCCACTCCACCCTCCCGATTTTCGTCCCCTACCCTTTAGCTGTGATTCTCCTTCTTGGGAGGAGCCACGTGGCAGTGGTCACGTCAGCAGGTTTCAAGATATTCCGCTGTGCTGACATGGCGCGACCCGTCATGAGCCACCTGGGCGTGGGGCCGACAAAGTTCGTGGAGCTCATTCTCGTCGCGCCAAGACGCGCAATTCCATTGGTCGCATTCGTTGGCACGGGAGACACGATAACTCTTTCTAATCCTTCCCTTCACGTCCCTTGGTGCCACCGCCCTTCCTCATCACTTCTGTTGCATCCCTGAAAGCCCCTGAGTACTCTTGAGACGTTTGATCTTTCTCACCTTTTAGTTAGCTCGATGGCGCAACATGGGCACGGTTCATATCATATCCGTGCTGCCTGCCATGCCATCAGTCGTCATCCCACCCACCCCCCCTCCATCCCCCCTCCCTCCGTCCCCATCCCTCCATCCCCATCCCTCTTCAGGCCACCTATCGCCTTGAGAGCTGCATCTAGCTTCCATAGCCCCTTCCTCCAACATTCCATTCCAACTACCTCCCCCTCCCCTCCCTTCCCTGTCATTCTCATCTCACTCATCCCCCCTAAGCGCCAACCCCCAGTTTTCCATCCTCACTCCCCTCAATCATCTCCCCTCCATCACATCCCCTGCTCTCTCGACCCCCCCGCCTGCAGCCGTGCCTGTTGCCACGGAGTTACACCTAGCTTCCATCGCTCATACAGCCTTCCCATCCCAACCCCCCTAACTATCGACCTCCCTTTTTCCATCCCTTCATCCGCCCCTCGCCCTGCAGCCGCACGTGTCGCCTCGGAGTTGAATCCAGCCTTCATCGCCCATCCAGCCTTCCCTTTCGTGCCTCCTCTCACTCTCGTCTCGTCCAACCCCCTAACCGCCAACCTCCCATTTTCCATCCCTCCATCCCCCCGTCCCCTCCAGCAGCATTTATCCCCTCGAGAGCTGCACCCTGCTTCCATCGCTTATCCAGCCTTCCACCTCCCGCCACCCCCCTCCCTCTGTCCCCATCCCCCTCCCTCTGTTCCCATCCCCAGCTCCTTCAGAAGCAGCCGACCGTTCGCAGTGAAGGAGCTGCTCGACGGGCTTCGTCGAGCTGTAGGGGTTCACTGTAGTGTTGCCGTCGACCTGAAGTGCTCGACAACCAAGTGCTGCTCTTGTGCCTGTCGACCACCTAGGTCGACGACCACCCCTTGCCTCCCTCACGAAGTCGGCCACCTCCCCAGGTCGACCACTTCTGGTCGACCAGACCTAATGGTCGCCAACTGCACCCGAAGCGGTTTCTCAGGTCGGCGTCACCAAGTCGACGCCCTCTGAGGTCGACGTCCCTCCTCGTCGACCATTGGGTTGAAATCGGCCGCCGGTTCCCCTGCGTCGGCGGCGTGGCAGTGACTGTCACGGGGCTGGAGCCATCGACTAGGGAGCTCAAAAGCTGCGGCTGACTGGGCTGGGCGACAGGTGGCCCGTCGACCAGGAGGAACCGTTGGACCGGGAGGTCGCCGGAGCGGTCCGTCGACCTGACAAGTGAGCAGCGGTCGACGAGGGGAGCTCGGCGACAACAGCTGACAGTTCTGGTCGATGGAAGGGGGCCGTCAACCAGGGGGTAGCTCGACGGGAGCTGTGGTCGACCAGGGGCATCTGATGATCGACCAGAAGCACCTCGTCGGCGAGTTCTACGGAGGCACGCGAACGTCGTTAAGGTCGCAGTGACGAAGGTGACTTCGGGCTGGTACCCCGAAGTCGATGTGGCTCGTCGCGCACCTGCGAGCGTGCGCACTGCTGCCATCTATGGGTGCAACGCTGGACAGCGGCGATGCTGCAGCGTTGGCACGCCGTCGACCTGCTGTGTTGGCAGGTCGCCTTTCTGCATTGCTGGCGCGGCTCCTCTACGCAACGCTGGCAGGCGGTCGACCAGGCTAGCTGCGGAGTTGCTAGGTGCCTGATGTAGTCATTTTTGTCATTGCTTGTTCAATCATTCTGTAATTTCAACTTTGTTAGTGAAACTCTTGCCAATCTCTCTCGTGAATGCGCAAGTGTTAAAAAACCAAGCAAAGCTATGATCACTCATAGGTGTTCGTGCCAACACCCCGTAGTCTTGATCACGACCACTGTAGAGTGATTCTCCGCATTCCCATCCCCCTCCCTCTGTCCCCATCCCTCTCCCCTCTGTTCCGATCCACTGCCCTCTGTCCCCATCCCCCTCCCTTTGTTCCGATCCTTCTCCAGCTGCACCTGTCATGTCACTTCGGGAGCTGCACTTTGTTTCCATCGCCCATCCAGCCTTCCAACCGTCTCCCTCCACGTCCCCCGCCTCCTCCTCATCCGCTGCTCATTCTCCTCTCACTCACCACCTGTACAATCTCACACACACACACGCTCTTCCCTCCGCTCCCTCCTCTCTCACTCCCCTCGGTCAGGTGAGCTTCTGATCGGGCAGGTATTTGGTCAGGTGAGCTTTTGTTCGGACAGGTGTTTGGTCAGGTGAGCTTTTGATCGGACAGGTGTTTGGTCAGGTGAGCTTTGGATCGGACAGGTGTTTGGTCAGATGAGCTTCTGATTGGACAGGTGTTACGTCGTCAGGTGAGCTTCTGATCAGACAGGGTTTTTTCTCTTTCAAAAGAGGCGTCCACCTCGCTTCTATCTTCTCTGTCTCCTTCTCCCCGCCAGGATCCCTCCCTCCCTCTCCTGCCCTCACCAGCAGCACCAGCACCATCATTATTTTCCGTCCAACCACACCTACACCCCTTCCCATCCCTTCCCGCCTTTTTCACTCCTTTTCACTGCTGTCACCAGCAGTTCTCTTTCAGAAAAGCCGCCTATTCCGCTTCTATTTTCTCCCTTGCCTTCTCCCCGCTAGGTTCCCTCTCTGCCCGCATCCCTCTCCCCGCCAGGATCCCTCCCTCCCTCTCTTGCTCTCGCCAGCAGCACCTGCACTGCCCATATCTTCCACATCCCCCTCTTCGCCTCCTCTCACTCCTCCCCACACGCTCCAGGTGTTGGACACTCTCAACCAATATTGAATCTTAACCGGCCAGCATGCTACTTAGACCAAGGAAATGCCTGACCATAAATAACAAGGACGAGAGTATGGGAACCTGTTTCTGGATGCCCTGTCCTCACTTTCATTCGTTACTGGATGCTGTTACCGGCGAGAAAGGGATCATAAGTACTACCCTTATATAATCATAAGTGTGTGTACATTTGGACCTTAACATGTCCAAAGGAAGTGTACCACTCTGCCCCGCATTACACTCAAATAACAGACGTTTCCAGTGCACTGTGTCTAGACTTTTGCGACACAGGGCTTTTTTTACATGCTTCCTGAATGTACTGGACGAAGGAAAAAAGATTCTGGTGTTTGCATGTGACACTCTTTCTTTCCAATCCCCTTCCACTACCCAAACCTTCTTGAGCAAGCCTTACCAGTAGTACGTATTCCTACACCCACCAATTCTTCCCGTCCTCTGTTTCCGCACTCTCTCCCTTCCATCAATGGCTTGGCCAGGCCTTATTTGAGGATTTTCACATCCGCTGGGTCCTTCAACCAATATTCCGTCTCAGCCAGCCAGCATGCTACTTAGACCAAGGATAATTAGTTTTACCGTAATCTGCTTTTGGATGTCCTCACTTTCAATTGTATAATGAATGTTGTTAACAGAGAGAAAGGGATAACTACCCTCCGATAAAACCGCAACGTGTGTGTGGTGAGCATATGGCCCGCTCAACAAAGCTCAAACGTTTGAGAACAACGCACATGCCTTCAACCAAAAGGGTTGTCGACCTAGAGGCAGCTGCACATGCCCCCTGCATGATAGATTATTGAGTTGTTGTTCACCACCTCTGCTTCGTTGCAAACAACCTCTCATTGCTTTTGTGAAGGGGTTCTCTCAATGTGTGCTCCCTATTTCACATAGCAGGGCGTTTGGGCGTCCCAGCACTCTAGGGCGTCCTAGCACCTTTTGGATTCCGATTCCGAGCAAATTTCACAAGGTTTTGAAATACGTTAGATGGAATAGATGAGAACCTTAGATTGTAAGAAGACAAGCGCATGGATCAGCCAAGAGCATGATACAGAAAGCCATCACTACTTTCACCATGTTGGTCCTGGTGCTTTTGATCCATAGCCTCCGACAACACGGCATCCTCTCCATATACGGTACCATTCACATCCCAAGGAAACCCTGCAGAACCTAATCATCCCAAAGAGATTCAAACAGATGTAGTGGCCATCCATACCACACTCAGCAACAGTCGATCGGAAAACGCTACTAAACACCATCACTTGTGGGTGTGCTGCTTAGAGCTTTCCTCTCCCCATTCTTCACACCGGGTTTTCCTCAGCAAAGCTGTCCCCCATCATCTGGATTTCTGTTTCGGGGCCCTCAATACCCACGAAAGCATCCTTCATCTCCTGAACTTGAGAATCCACCTTGACAGCCGCCCTCAGCTCCTCTTTCCCCACCACTTCATCCCGGATAGCCTGCAGCTGATTGGCGATTTCTGCCATGCTTGGGCGAGCTGCAGTGCACTCCACGGTGCAGCTGAGGGCGAGCTGAGCCACACGGAGCACAGCATCCGCAGGGGCATCCAGGTTGGGGTCCTTGAGGCTCCCCAGCTCACCCGAGTTCACGCACTCAGATGCCTGAAAGGAAGAAAGTACACACGGAGGGAGATGTGGGAGATCACAAACGGAGGGGGATGGGAGAGATCTCAAACGGAGGGGGATGGGAGAGATCACAAACGGAGGGGGATGGGAGAGATCACAAACGGAGGGGGATGGGAGAGATCACAAACGGAGGGGGATGGGAGAGATCACGAATTGGGTAGAGAGAGTTCATGAGTCGACCCATCAAATAGTATGGTAAGGGATCTGAGTTGCTTTACTGCGTCAAATCATGACACACTGCAGAAAGGTGGTCATGGTAGTTACTGAAAGTACCTTTGGAAGTCACAAAATCCTTACCCATGGGATGATCTGCCAGCTCTTTCCCGCAGTCTCTGAGAGAGGGGCCTGTCTGGTGAGCACCACCAACATGAGAACTCCAAAGCTGGAAAACAACACACATGTTTAAAGACATAGAATGCTAGCAGTTTAGCTGTTGACAGATCATTGTATGGCCGACTGAGCCATAATGCCACCACGCCCATCACGCCCATCACACCCACAAAGAACACGACCAGACAACAATGAGGTTTGGTCTCGTCAGTCACCATCAACTTGTAGGAATTCTTTCTGCGTCTCCTTGTGTGGCCTTGTCTGTAATGCCTCTTGCCTCACCTGTACACATTGCTGGCTGCAGTTGCCTCGGACATTCTGGAGTAAACAGGATCTACGTAACCCATGACGCAAGTTGTGCCCACACTCTTTGACACGTCCTGAAATGATCACCTTTACACAACACTGCCTCATCTAACGGCTCCTGCAATGATCACCTGTACACATCACTACTTCACCTGTACACATCACTACTTCACCTGTACACATCACTACTTCACCTGTACACATCACTACTTCACCTGTACACATCACTACTTCACCTGTACACATCACTACTTCACCTGTACACATCACTACTTCACCTGTACACATCACTACTTCACCTGTACACATCACTACTTCACCTGTACACATCGCTGGCTGCAGTTGCCTTGGACGTTCGGGAGTAGACAGGATCCACATAGCCCGGTGTGCCCACGATGCGAGTCGTACCGACAGTCGTGCCCTCTCCCATCCTCACCAGCCCAAAGTCTGCAATCTTGGCCTGGTGGGTGCGTTGAGAGACATGTTGGCAAGAGACCCCAGAAGTACAAACGCTTGAAGAAGATTTTCTGGGAATCAAGGATGCACATATGTGGTGGCAGGATGTTTGCCACGGAAAGAACTCTCATTGCAAAGTAAATATGTGTTAGCAAGGCTTAACGAATGGTTGTCGCAAGGAACAAGTGATTCAGGAAAAAACCAATAGATATGACAATGGCAAACGTACCGGGTGTGATGTACCACTGCCTGGTCTAAGCTTCAACACATCAATAAAATAAATACACGAATCAGCTTGGCATCGATTAAGTGACACTAAGTTCCATCTTCCTCTGCGAATTCTCCCATTTTGTATCATTATTTCTCCCAAGGTTCTGATTCCGACTGCCAAAGAAACTTTGGGAACAGAACAAAGCAGTGCGTGATGTAACCACTCTTGCCTGCATGCTGTTGGTGATGAGGACGTTGGCAGGCTTGATGTCGCGATGCACGATGCCAAAGCCATGGAGGTACTCAAAGCCCCGTGCCATGCCGATGAGAATGTCCAGCCGCTGCTTCAGATTCAGAGGACGTTCTGCCTCTGCAAGGATACACAGTATGAGCGGCAGAGCATGTGAGTGGCAGAGCATGTAGGTGGCACAACGGAACACGCACTAGGGGAGTGCCGCACGCACATACTTGGATCAATCCATTTCTGAAGATCGCAGTTGGGCACGTATTCATAGATGAGAACTTGCTCTGGCCGAGATCTCAGATCCCCTCCAATCGCAAAGCCAAGAAGCCTCACAATGTTGGGGTGGTTCTTGTCGGCCATCTGCTCAATCTGATCATCACAGCCAGAGAGAAACATTTAAAGCAGGGAGAAATGGAACAGGTCGAGAAGCAGAGCACAAAAAAATAATAGCCCAGGCTCCAAAATCTGGAAAGTTGGTTTCTTTTACGCATGCCTGCAAAATCTGCTGAGATAAGACTCTGAATTAAAAAGAAGGGAATCGTCAAACACGGAACAATGTATAATTGGAATGGCAAAAGATACCATGGCAGCGACAAATGCCACTTGTGTGCATTACCATGGCTCACTGACCTCCTTCTGGAAGCCAACGACCATGAGCCTGGCGCGCTTTACAGCCCACACTGTGGTGCCATCGCGGGGAGACACGCCCTTGTACACATCGCCAAAGGAACCGGAGCCCAGATGGTGGTCCTGCGACCAGTTATTGGTGGCCTTGAGGACCTCTGCCAGCGAAAACTCGGTGCAATGGGAGGCTGCCAGGCTGCCACCCGCGCCTGCTCATGGTGCCACTCATGGGGTGAAAGGAAAGGAGGTACGTGCAAGTTGAGTACAGCTGAGTGGGCTTCCAACAGACTCCTCTGCGGATTCCAGTCTAGTCGGACTTGTGCTTGCCTTGACTTGCACAAACTATTGGGTCATGGAGGACTTGACATGTACTTATGGTATACATGCCTTTACCATACTAAGGTTCCAAGCTTGAAAAGTGAATAACCTAAGGTTACGTCCAAAAAGATTGATATAGAAGTTTTGGAGTTACTTTTGAGAATTCTCAAGAGTGACTCCCAATTCTTTCCAGTCTTGAATATTGAATAACCTCAGATCTCGTCCAATAGAATAGATACAAAAGTCTAGGAGGGGTGAAGGCATGGAATTGACCGCATGTCCTCGTGGCAAGTCACCCCAGCTCAGGTCAAGACAAGCGATCGAGCAGTCCTTCCGGCATGAATATAATTGATGGAGTCACACACACACACACACACACACACACACACACACACACACACACACACACGCACACACACACACACACACATACACACACACACACACACGAAAGAAAGAAGGTTCAACTGGACAGAAGGCATGATTCGTGACTATACTTGCAAATTTGCATGCTTGCTACGTACGTTCCTGCATTGAGCACCTTGCTCCTCGCTCACTTATCACACGAACATGAAGCTACAGCCGCATATAGCTGCACTAATGAGACTGGTCATCCAGAGTCTACTCCTTCCTGTTGCTTTATCTTCGTACCTTTTGGCTCCTGTTGCTGCTGATGCCTCAAGTAGAGCAGTGTGGTTCCCAGAAGTAGGAGAATGATGACAGCGGCCACAGAAATGCCAATGATGGCTCCCATTGACAGTCCACCTCCACCTCCAGATGCTGCTGGTGAAGTAGACTCACTGCCGTTGCTGCTGTTACCGCTGCTGCTGCTGCTGCTGCTGCTGCTGCTGCTGCTGCTGCCATTGGTGGTGGTGGTGGTGCTGCTGCTGTTCGTTGCGATTGGGCCTGCTCTACACAAGCAAAGAACAACTCTCTGGGAATTAAAGCAACCTTTTCACCACAAAAAGCTTCAAGACGGTGAAAAGGGGCAGTGCTCAAAATGAGAGCACAGAGAATCAGTGCAATACCATAGCCCCATACAGTGGTTCGACGTTACCTTTCGGTTCTCCAGGGAGACAGCTTTGTCTTGTGTCACGCCTTGTGTCATGCCTCTCATACTCTATAAAACTCTACCATCATCAACGTTGTACTGCTCTAGTAGAACTTTGCTTCAATCACTTGCCTGCAGGTTTGCCGCAAGTCCTACAAAAGGATTCACACGTCTGGCAAAAGGCTGTTCTCGCATTTTGTGTTGTGCCACAGTCGGTGTTGTTAGGTGGGCACGTGAGGTTTGTGCCAGTGACGTTGCTGCAATAGGAAAAAGGGGGAGATCAAAATGCGGAATTCGTGGGCACAGCTGCATGGACCTTGACCTTACAAACTTAGCATAAAAATGGGAACAGTGGTAGGGTTAAGTGGGACATAAGGAGGGTGAAAAGCGACAAACAGGTGACTGGCAGGATTCGGCGGTGGAAAAGGGAAAAGGAGAGAAGGAGCATGTGGGTGGATGCACACAAAGAAGGCCGCAAGTGGGGACAGATGGATGTGAATATGGTGTCATCTTGCTCCCTACAGACAGACATGCCCAAACTAATGCAGGACACTGATTTACTGACATTTCTCCTACAAAACTGCTCTATTCCACCAAAATTGGACAACCAACTTTAACAAACTAAGATAACTTCTAAGTCAGAGATGTGTTCATTTCCATTCAGAAAATCAAATCGAAACAATATCGATGAAACAAAACTGATGATATACCTAATCACGGCTGAAACATCCAAAAATTGTTGCCATGATACTTACAGGCTCTTCAACTTGAGTAAGCTTAGAAAGGGCGAAATGGTTCCATTCAGGTGATTCCCATTCACATTCCTGAAAATGATAAAGAACAACAGCTCAAGATGAAGACGAAGGAGAATGAAAGGGGGCAGAGGGCCATGCCTTCCAAATGCTAGCAAATTTTTGCCATGGAGTTTGATTAAACTCTAGAAATGTATAGGAGTAATGGAAGGTTTTTTTTTGTTACGAAACAACTGTAACATGCAACACAACCACCCCTTTGAATGCAGGTTGAAGTCCTTAAGATGCCCTTGTAAGAAGTGGAGCTTGAACTAATAGATTAGTAATGAGCAATACTCTTAAAGTACATCCGAAATGAGCAAGGAAGTGATCGGGAGGGATTTGGGGGGCAATCCCAAGGGCATCGGCGGGAATCTCTAATTGGTGGGTTAGAGATTTCAGGTGATCACATTTGGGTTTGGTTGGGATTTGTGTGTGCACCCAAGCAACAGAGTGCACACTACATTACGCTAGGATATCAAAAGTGCAAGTACAAATGTTGAGATTCAGGGCTAACACTAACAGCCCCCTCAAGGTCCTTACCACTCTTCTCATGCTTGCTTCGTATTGAGAAATTGACAACAGACAAGGTGATTCGTACAGAAAACTGAGATCAGCAAGCAAGAAGACGCTGCCGGGAACAGAGCCCGTCAAAGAGTTGTACGAGAGATCCCTGTGTGTGTGGGCAGGTAGGTCCATAGAAGTGAAGAAATGAAAGTCATAGGCATAGTTAGAGGAACAGCAAGCACACACAAGCGATAATAATGAAACAAAGAGGATGAGGTAGTGCAACTGGCCACACGGTTCTTCAAATGTTGTAAGAAAACCAAAGCCAACCATGGCTGGGATATCCAGAGATTGCTACCAAGATACGTTCAAGCAGTGCAAGGTGAGCAAGGCCCCTATAGAGGAGAGAATGGTTCCATTTCAGTGATTCCCATCTACATGCTTGACAGACAATAAAAACTTACAGGCTGGGATGAAAGAGAAGGAGAATGAAGGGAGAGGGAGATTCATGCATTCCAAAATGCTGGCCAATCATTGCAATGGAGTGTACTTTTGGTTACAAAAACAACTATAGCATGGGGTGTTGTGACAGGCAACACAACCATCCCTTTGAACGCAAGTATAAGTCCCTAAGCAACCCGCACAAGGTCCATACCACTCTTCTCATGCTTAGCCCGAGGCCTAAACATGTTGCTTCGTAATGGGGAATTGACAATAGAAATAGGCGCTTCATACAAATTGTTGAGAGCAGTAAGCAAAGAAATGATGTTGGGAATGGAGCCCGTCAAAGCATTGTTCGAGAGATCCCTGTATGTGTGGGTAGGTAGGTCCGTAAAAGTGAAGAGATGGGACTTGTGGGCATGGCCAGATGGACAACAAGCACACACAAGCGATATTGATGAAATAGAGCTGATTAGGTAGTGCAACTAGCCATACGGTTCTTTCAATGTTGTCAATCCCAAACCCAATCATGGCTGGGATATCCAAAGACTGTTACCATGATACTTTTAGACTCTGCAACCTGAGTAGGCCCCTAAAGCGGGCGGAATGGTTTTGCAATGAAGAGAGAGGGAGGTTCATGCGTTCCAAAAAGCTGGTCAGTCATTGCAATAAAAGTGTGTGTGTGTGTGTGTGTGTGTGTGTGTGTGTGTGAGTGTGTGTGTGAGTGTGTGTGTATGTGTGTGTGTGTGTTTGTTTGTTTGATTGTTTGTTTGTTTTTAGTTTTTTTTTGTTTTGATTCTTTTATGTTTAGATTCTATTATGGGTAAATATATAGCACAAACCTAGAAGATATCTTGGAGCAGAAGCAAAAATATGGTTGTTTTTTGGCACCTTGATTGCAATGGAGTTTCTTAGAAGCAAGCAATGGTCTTTTTGGTTACAGAAACAACTCTGGCAAGGGGTGTTGTGGCCCGCAACATAACCATCTCTTTGAACACACGTTGAAGCCCCTAAAGAGCCCCATTAAGCTCCTTACCACTCTTCTCATGCTTTCACGAAGCAAAAACATGTTGCTTCGTATCGAGGCATTGTCAATAGAAATAGGTGCTTCGTACAAATGATTGAGATTAGTAAGCAAAGAGATGATGTCTGGAATGGAGCCCGTGAAAACGTTCTTCGAGAGATCCCTGTGTTGGGTAGGTAGGTCAGTAGAAGTGAAGAGATGATACTTGTGGGCATGAACAGAGAGGCAACAAGCACGAAAAAATGATATTGATTAAACAGAGCTGATTAGGTAGTGCATCGAGCCATACATTTCTTCAATATTGTCAACTCCAAAGCCAATCATGGCTGGGAGATCCAGAGATTTGTTAGCAGGATACTGTTTGGCACTGCAACCTGAGTAAAGCCCCAAGAAGAGAGGGCGGAATGCTTCCATTCAAGTGATGAAAATCCACAGGCTGGGATGAACGAAAAGGAGCATTCAATGGTCCATTTAGTTCAAAGAAACAACAGTGGCATGGGGTGTTGTGGCCGACAACACAACCATCCCTTTGAATGCAAGTTGAAGTCTCTCAGCAGTCCCTTCAACGTCCTTGCAACTCCTATTTTGCTTAACAAGAGACCAAAACAAGCTGCTTCCTATTGAGGCATGGACAATAGACAAGGTGCTTCATACAAATAAATGATATAGTTGTTGTAAAATCTGATATCACCAAGCACGGAGATGCTGTTGGAGCCCATCAAATTGTTGTTCGAGAGATCTCTGTGTGTGAAGGTAGGTAGGTCGGTAGAAATGAAGAGATCATACTCGTGGGCATGGCCAGAGAGACAGCAAACACACACACGGTTCTTTCAATGTTCTCAACCCCAAAGTCAATCATGGACGAAATGTACAAAGATTGTTTCGAATATATTTCCAGGTACTTTCCTCTTTTTTCTTTTAAGCATTGATAGAATACACCGAGAACGCAAGTGTACAAAATCAAAGACAGTCGTAACTATACGTGTAGCAGGCGTGAGCCGCCCCAAAGTGGGTGCTTATACAGGGGCCCCGACCCCTCTTTGAATGTACCAAACTGCCACAAAGGTATTGGACTTCCTGTTCCTGTCAGCGACCTTCACCTTCCCAGGAAGCCGCTACTCTTCCTCCCTCAGTTTCAGAAACTTTCCCCACCGCCCTGCTTTCAGTGACTTCAGGCCTTTGCCATTCGACGTTCTAGTGTAGATCCTCACATTCAAGTAGAACACCCTCTCGATCTTTCTAAGGACTCGGCGTTCCTGAAACCTTCTGACCTGAAAATCCGCCTTGCACCGCTTGAGCCACAGTTGGTGCAGTCCAATTGCTGACAGGGTGGCTTCTGGAAAAGCTGAGCTGGTGCCAGCACACTTGAAAAGCAGGTCTCCCAGCGAGTAGACGTGGCATGACGGGTTCCCTGTTGATGGCCTAGATGACCACTAAAATACGCGGAAAGGTGAAGAGGCAGTGCTCCAGGGTTTCGTCCTCCCCACCATACGGGCAGACCGCCTTACTGGCGAGGAATGCCACACTTTCACTTCACCCACTTGAAGATTCAGACCGTGGATCCTTAGTACGACCCCCCTCCGACGGTTGGGACTCGCCAGTGAGTCCCGAATAGCAATGGTACGTTTCCAGTTGAACTTGCCATTCCATCTGCCCTCCCTCTTTTGCTGCTTGGCTGATGAGGGCTGCCCGTCTTGCCAAAACGTTCTCATATGCTTCAGAGGAATGATAGCCCCCTCTGAGACGAAAGGTAGCTGCCACTGCTTAGAGGCAGCCGATTTAGGAGGGCTGGCTGTGGCAAGGAGAGCTTTCTGCCAAACATCTGGCGCAACTGCTAGAGCCTTGAGGCCGAGCACTGCAGGCTGCTTACCACCCAGCTCTCGCAACAACATCTCGCCCCTATACGGGTTGTGGAAATAATCGAGGCAATTGCGAGCGAATGAAAGGTATAAGCAGAATAGCAGTATGTTGCAGCTTGCAGAACTCGTTGTTTTTGCAACCGATGACGGGTTCGTTGTCCGAGTTGTCCTGGGACTCATTGTTAGAGTCGTCGGCATCCATTGTCAACTTGTACTTGGCGTCCACTAAGAGGCCTGAAGAGGCAGCCTCAGGGTTGTTGACTGACGAGAGTTCCTTGACCGGATCAGCAGCGTTCTTCCCATCCTTTGTCGCCTTCCGGGATCTCTTGGGCGGCATCTGTGAGAAGACAGAGTGTCCTTGAGGTCGAACTTTTGCCAAAGTTCGAACTTCCAAAGTGGTTGTATACGGTAAGATACATTTAAGAGACGTTTCGCCACGATACAAAGCGGTAACAGGCTCGAACTCTGTCAAGTTTTGCCAAAAGACACGCGCCCCAAAGGGCCTGGGGACTCGTAGACAGCAGTAGTTGGAGAATCATGCGATGAAAAGCCACTGAAAGCAGACAGTCTAAGTAGTAAATTATCACAATACACAGACCATTGTTTCTACTTTTGGTGATGAGTTACCAAGGTAGATACACTGGGAGGTGAGCAGGTTCCGAAACTGTCGACGTTGTAGCGAGTAGGCCATAGACTTCTTAGAGCAAACGAGTTAGGTGCATCGGCAGAATCCATGGCGGCCAGATGCGGATCCAGCTCTTCAATTATTCGCAGGAGGTAGGATTTGGTTGTCTACTGGAAGCTAAGCAGGGCCCCTAAACAAGTTGGTTCGCATGGATGCATAGACAACAGACAAGGTGCTTCGTACACATAGTTGAGATAACCAAGGCCGGTTATGCTGTCGGGAATGGAGCCCGTCAAAGCGTTGTTCGAGAGATTTCTGTGTGTGTGGGAAGGTAGGTCGGTAGAAGCGAAGAGATGAGACTTGGGGGCATAACCAAAGGGACAGCAAGCACACAATAGCAATATTGATGACACAGAGCTCATTATGTAGTGTAAATAGCCCTACGGTTCTTGGCTGGGATACTTAGGTATTGTTGCCATGAGAATTTTAGGCTCTGCAAGCTGAGTAAGGCCCCTATGGAGGGTGGAACGGTTCTGATCAAGTGACTCCTATATACATGCCTGATAGGCGATGAAAAAAGAACAGCCTGGAATGAAGGAGACCGAGAATGAAGAGGGAAGGAGGGTCATTCATTCAAAATGATGGCCAATCATTGTAATGCAGCTCATTTCGGCCCTAAAAATGAAGAAAAACAATCAAGGACTTCTTTGTTACAAAAACAACCGTGGCATGGGGTGTTGATGCCAGCAACACAAATATCCCCCTTAAGCAGCCCCCTTAAGGTCCTTACCACTCTTTTCATGCTTGGCACAAGGACTAAACAAGTTGCTTCGTATTCAGACAAGACAAACGAAAAGGTACTTCGTACAAGTTCGAGAGATAGTTAAGATTGTTGATGGTGTAGGGAATGGCGCCCGTCAAAGCGTTGTTCGAGAGATCCCTGTGTATGTGGGTAGAAGTGAAGAGATCAGACCTTTGGGCGTGGCAAGAGGGACAGAAAGCACGCAGAAGCAATACTGATGAAACAGAGCAATTAGGTAGTGCAACTAGCTATACGGTTCTTTCAATGTTGTCAACCCCAAAGCCAATCATGGTTATGATGTAACAAAACTGTTACAATGATATTTTTAGGCACTCCAAGCTGAGTAGGGCCCCGAGAGAGGGCATAATGGTTCCATTCAAGCAGTTCATCATCTACATGCCTGACAGCCGATGAAGAACAACAGCCAGGGATGAAGGAGAAGGAGAATGAAGAGGGAGGGAGGGTCGTGCGTTCCTTAGGCTGGCCTATTATTGCATTGGACAATATTTCAACCTTGGAAATGAACAGAAGCAATCAATGGTCTTTTTGGTTTTAGAAACAGCTGTGATATGTGACAATAGCCATTTTTTTAACACGAGCTGAAATCAGTAAGGAGCCCGCTCAAGGTCCTTACCACTCATCTCATGCATAGCACGAGGCCTAACCAAGTTGCTTCATATCGAGCCAATGAACATAGGAAAGGTGTTTCGTACACATAAAGGAGATCACCAAGATAGGAGATGCTGTTGGGAATGGAGCCCGTCAAAGCGTTGTTCGAGAGATCCCTGCGTGTGTGGGTAGGTAGGTCAGTACAAGTGAAAGATATGAGACTTGTGCACATGGCCAGAGAGAAAGCAAGCACACACAAGTGATATTGATGAAATTGAGTTGATTAGGTAGTGCAACTAGCCATGCGGTTCTTTCAATGTTGTCAACCCGAAAGCCAATCATGGCTTGGATTCCAAATATTGTTGCTACAATACTTTCAGACACTGCAAGCTGAGTAAGGGCCCGAGAGAGGGTAAAAAGGTTCCATTCAAGTGATTCGCATTACATGCCTGGTAGACGTAGAAGAAAAACATCACGGGAAGAGGGAGAAGGAGAATGGAGATGGAGGGAGGGTCATGCGTTCCAAAGGATGGCCAAACATTGCAATGGAGTTTATTTTAACCTTAAAAATCAATAGAAGCTATCAACAGTCATTATGGTTACAGAAACAACTATGATATGGAGTGTTGGGAGAGGCAAGAAAACCATCCTTTCGAACGCTCCCTAGTCATGAGCACAGATACGAACACCTGTTCATGTTCGAGGCGAACCAAACAGGGTTTTTTTTTGCCCAAAAATGTTCGCCTCAAACGTGTTCGCTGTTCGCCCTCGTCAACTGGCCGACCCGCGTCGAACACGAACGCGTTCGTGTTCGACGCAGGGCTTCGACGAACACGTTGGTGTTCGTCGAGGAATTGGCCCGCGACCAATTTTTAGGTCGCGGGCCTTGGTGTTTGAGCTCATTTTTTAAGCTCAAACTATCCGCGACTTAATCGCCAGCCCCTTAGCGCCCACTACCGCCCTTTCCTAGCAGTCCTAGAACCCTCACTACAACATCTTAGATTGATGTAGGTTACATTAGTGGTCACCAGAACAGCAGAACCTTGAAGAACTTGCGGTTAAAGTAGGGAGTATGAGTTTAGGGTCCGTCAGATTCCGTTTTTTGAAAGTGTGACTATAGTGAAAGGTGTCCCTTGGCGAACACGAACGTGTTTGCCTCGAACACGTCCGCGATCGCCTTTCCAAGCAAGGTGGTCGCGCAGGGGCGAACGTGAACACATTCGTGTTCGCCCCTTGCTCATCCCTACAGCTCAAGGCCCTTACCACTCTTCCCATGCTTAGCACAAGGCCTAAACAAGTTGCACTTTATTGAGGCATAGACATAGACAAGGCGCTTCATACAGATAAGTGAGAACACAGTAATCAGCAAACTCAGAGATGCCGTTGGAAAAGGAGCCTGTTAGATTGTTGTTCGAGAGATCCCTGTGTGTGAAAGTATGTAGTTTAGTAGGATTGAACAGATGAGATTTGTGGACATGGTCAGAGGGATAGCAAGCACGCACAACTGATATTGATGAAGAATGAGGAAGTGCAACTAGCCACATAGTTCTTTCAATTTTGTCAACCCGAAGCCAGTTTTGGTTGGGATGTCTAGAGATTGTTGCCATCATATTTCACGCAGCAAGCTGAGTAACGCCCCTAGCGAGAGCAGAATGATTCAATGCAAGTGATTCACATCTACAACCTGAGAGACGATGACGAACAACCGCCCGGGATGAAAGAGAAGGATAATAAAGAGGGAGGGAGGGTTGTGCGTTGTAAATGCTAGCCCGAGTTTATTTCAACCCTGGAAATGAGCAAACGCAATCATTGGTCCTTTTCGTTACAGAAACTGGAACATGGGGTGGGGTATTGTGGTCGGCAACACAACGATCTCTTTGAACACAAGTTGAAGTCCCTATGCAGCCCGCTTAAGGTCTTACCACTCCTCTCATGCTTAACACAATGCCCCAACAAGTTGCTTTGTATCGAGGCACAGACAATAGATAAGGTGCCTCATACAGATAACCGAGAGAAGGAAAATCGGCAAACGAGGAGATGCTGCTGGGAATGGAGCCGGTCAAATTGTTGTTCGAGATATCCCTGCACGTGAAAGTAGGTAGGTTAGTAGAAGGAAAGAGATGAAACTTGAATGCATGTTTAGATGGACAGCAAGCCCACATGAGCGATGTTGATGAAACAGAACTGATTAGGTAGTGTAACTAGCCATACGGTTCTTTTAATGTTGTTAACCTCGAACCATTATGGATGGGATATACAAAGATGATTCCCATGATACTTTCGGGCACTTCAAGGTGAGTAAGTCCTCTAAAGAAGGCGGAATGTGTTCTTTCAAGTGATTCGCATCTTCATGCCTGACAGACGACGAAGAACAACAGCCCAGGATGGAGGAGAAGGAGAATGAAGAGGGAGGGAGAGTCAAGCGTTCCAAATAACGGCCAATCATTGCAATGCAATCCATTTCAACCTTGGAAATGAGCAGACGCAATCAATGGTCCTTTTGGTTACAGAACCTGGAACATGGGATGTTGTGGCCGGCAACACAACCATCCCTTTGAACGCAAGTTTAAATCCCTATGCAGCCTGCCTGAACAAAGTGCTTACCACTCCTGTGATGCCTAGCACAAGGTGCTTATTACAGTTTTTGTAAATAATAAAATGAGGAGATGCTGCTTGGAATGGAGCCCGTCAAATTGTTGTACGAGAGATCCCTGTTTGTGCGTGAGTAAGTCAGTAGAAGTGAAGGGATGAGACTTGTGTGCATGGCCAGAGGGGCAGCAGGTACACACAAGTGTTCCAAGGGGGTGATGAGACGAGGAAAATAACGCCTGTGGGGCTTACACGCAAGGTTGAGTGCCTCCTCTGCTCCTCAGATATAACCCTCCTTTTGACCCAGTGGTTAGCAAGGCATTATACTGGTATCAAAGCCTAGGGTTCAATTCCCGGTTGGTCACATTTTCCCGCTAGTGAGCGAGGAGTGGAACATGGTAACCCAGTTGTGAACCCAGACGATTCGTCGCTGGCCTAGCCCACCAGCCAAGGCGTTGACTTGCCAGCGAAGTTGAGGTCCTTGCAAGGGCTGCTTTCCTGCCCAACAAGGACGTTGGCTCCAGGGGGGCACGAGTGTAACGCCTGAGGGGTGCGTGGGAAAACCCTGAAGAGCGAGGGTCCACTACAGAGAGCAGCGCACTGAGCTGCATAGAAGTGTGCGGGTATATACGGGTTATTGATACTCGATACGTATACGGGTTGACCCGACCCGTCCCGCTACGGGTCACATTCGACCCAGCATGTATATACGGGATGGGTCAATAAAATAGCTAGGTCAGCCCCCCACGGATCGACCGGACCTGTACCTGTACCCATCACAGGTCACCCTAAACAGGTACGGGTCAGGTCAGGTCGACCCATATCCCATATCTACATTTAATACAAGCAATACGAGTCCACAAAAACAGCCTAGCAACATGGCTTACAAGTACATTAGTGCGAAGAGGTTTCCCAATCCAGCTGGAATAGATTTGGTAAGCTTGTTGGCCGACAGAGCCCTGGTGGCAGGAAGGAAGGATGAAACGATTCAACATATAGCTCTGCAAATCACATGAAGAACGAGCTGTGAGGCCATACAGGCTGCTAGGCTACTCATTTAACTGAAGTCAAGCATTTAGCTGCTCAGGTGAAGGTAAAATCTAGCTGCTCAGGTGAAGGTACATTTAGCTGCTCAGATGCCAGACAGGGAAGCATGCTTTCCAACCAGGCAGGAAGAGATCTAGAGAAACAATGAACATGAACATTGTTGTTATTGGCCCAATGAACAGGAACTGAATCTGCCTCACACATAACACCCAAATTCTCCAGCTACCCGGGTCTGTCATTCAGTACAATACATTCTAAGCACACAAAAGAAATTAGAGTACAAAAACAAGAAATATAATACACCATTACCTTGCTGCTGTGCAATTCACACCTTAGCCTCCAGCAAAGTGTTAATATCGCAAAAAATGGTGTCCAAAATGGAGCCGGACAAGGCAATGCTTTGCAGATGTATGGGGATGACCAGAGGGGCAGCAAGCATACGCACACAAGTAAATGACCTATGGGGTTGTTGAGGAGAGCATGCTGGGAGGCAATGCTTGAACAAGCGCTCACGGGGGAACGAGTGCTCGTTGAGCGCGGGGGCAGGCTGGGCCTGGTCTGGGTCTGGCCCGCCCGAAACTGGCCCGTGCCGAACCTCTAAATTGGGCTGTTGGCCCGGTTCGGGTCGAACCTCTAAATTGCCTCTCTCAAACAGGCCCAGGAAAATAATTTACCTATAACGAAAGTGCACCCTGGCTGGGCTGAGACCGACCCGGGTCGGGCAATACGTGGCCCGAGTCGGGCCATTTCGGCCCGGAAACCCCCTGGGCGAACTCGGGCCGAGGTCTAGCTCATTCGGCCTGGGGCGGGCCGGGCTGGGCCTGGCCTGCATTTTTTGGCAGCCCTCAACCCTAGCAATCAAGGGAGAACGAGCTGCGGTGGAGGGATTGCTTCACCGAGTAAGCAGCGCCGACGTGGAAAACATCGGGCACACTCCTTCCCACATGAAACGATGTTTGTTTGTTTGATTTTTTTTTTTCTTGACAAACTGTGGCTCCCAGCAGCAGTCAGATTCAAGCAATTCGCAGCTTGTGAAATTTGGCGAGGTTTTTAATTCCTGATGGAATTGGCCCAGATAGCTGATAATCTCACCACCCATTCTCTGGCACACAAATGTCTAGGCTCATGCAGTATGCACTGAGATAAACGAAGTAGAATGAGTAGTTAATCCATCCTAACGAAGTGGGACAAACACAAAGATGCACACTGTGAAGCAGTTGGAAGGTGGAAAGAGAGCACTAGAGAAAATAGGATGATGGGCAAGCGTAAGAGCATTGACACATGATTACGATCCTGGCACAGGATCACATACACTGCGACACCCTTCTTTTCCTGAAAGGCCATCATATCTAAGCGAATCATGTACTTGCAGCATCACCCTATCTCAACTTACAGGTACTTCAACGAAGTGAGGTTTCCAATCCCAGCTGGAATAGGCCCGTTGAGCTCACAACCGGACACATCTCTGGCTTCACATGGTGGAAAGTGGTTGTGAGTTGCACGCGCTTGTATTGAACAGTAAACACACTGATATAACGTTGCATCAATTGGAAGATAATGCATGTAGTGGAATATTTGCTAATGAGTACAAACAAATACTTCCAGCTAGTAGAACTGCAAGAGTGTGGGAGGCGAAACAAGGGGCAAGACATAGACGAGAGGAAGGAGGACAGGAGCAAGGATCTAGGCACGCCACTGGCAGCACCATTGCATTGCCACTGCCTTTGTTGCATTTCCAACAGTTATCATTTACAAACGGACGTGCCATTTACCTGCGCTACCAAACTTCCTATGCCGGGCCGGGACTTTAGATAAGCATGAACGAATGTGCACGAGGGCAGGAGCAAGGATCTAGGCACGCCACTGGCAGCACCATTGCATTGCCACTGCCTTTGTTGCATTTCCAACAGTTATCATTTACAAACAGACGTGCCATTTACCTGCGCTACCAAACTTCCTATGCCGGGCCGGGACTTTAGATAAGCATGAACGAATGTGCACGAGGTGCGATGCGAAATCATTCTTACAGACTCGTAAGAGAAGTGAGCAAGGAGATGCTATCAGGAATAGACCCTCCAAGAGCTGATTTGCTCAAATATCTATGTGGCGGGTGGGTGGGTGGGTGGGTGGGTGGGTGGAATGAAAGAAGAGAGAAGGTTGGACGGGGACAAAAGTGCCACTCCAAAATGTAATGACCCTACGCAGAAACAAATGGTATCAATCACATCAATCCTGCTGGACATCAGTTGCATGTTATGAGGTCCATTTTATCCTGAAAAAGAGAACCAGACTCACATTTTGGTAATCATGCCTGATTTGTCACAGGTGAGTCCTACAGCGGTGCTACAGTCAGCACCAACGGCCCAGCCTGGGAACGTCATACCCCATGCCTTTTGGCAGTCTCGGAAAAATGCCGCTGACAGTTGGGGACAGGCAAGGAGAGAGAGGAAAAGAGCTTTGACCAGATCACCAATGCTTGCCTTTACTTGAAGGCATATATCAATACGTGGACCGTTTGAGAGGCACATGGTAATGTGCGGGTATAGGCACTTAAGACGTTCAATGCTTTGCAGCTGAGATGTACAAAGAAATACTAATTCTCTACTCTACTGATGATGGAGGCACATCTAGCAGCTGTGTCGCTGGAAGAGCAAGTGAGGCCAGAAATTATGCACTGCAGCAGTGCAAACCACATGCGTATTGCTGCTACCAGTAGCATACTCAGTGCTGAGATACGTGCTAGTACGGGGAGGGGAGAAACTAGTGAAGCATTGGTTCTTATCACCTACGCCTGTACTAGCAGCCTGGTGCCGGCATATCGTTGGAAACCGCGAAGGAAACCAATGCGCAAGAGTGAAGGAGGTGCTCGCATTGGTTACCAGGGAGAGAACTTTGCCCCTATAACTGCTATTACTTTAGGTAGTGCTACTTCTAGTAGTAGTAGAAGTAGTATCGAGAGCACCGTACGACATCCCAAATACTGCATTCGGGAGGGGTTGATTTGGGGGTACGAATGCACCTGGATTTATGCTGGAGGGGGAGTACAGGGTGTGTTCAAACCACATGTGCACTGCCATGTATAGGTACATTACAGCCTGCATATACCAACCAATATGTTCGTGACATAGTGGGACATGCCCAGTATCAACACTAAACACACTTCGCATGAACTCTCTCTAGACTTTCCACGTGGCTTATACCCACTGCATGCTGGACATGCGCACATCGCGGAAAAGGTTTTCACCCTAAGTTGCGGAAAATGGGGTTTTCTGCTGAAAAGCTTCCGAAATGCATACAGATGTATCCAGAAAGTTGCGATCGTGAAATCGCAACCTACCCCCACTTTGCACACTTAGGTATTCGCACCAAGGGCACCGGAGCGCGAATGTACAATATGTGTTCAGTTGGCGGGAAATCCGCGGCTCGACAATCGATAATTATAATTCTTCGACATTGGGTGGTTCGGTAAAATACAACAGCGTATACATTTGTGTAACCATGCACACCGAGAGGCACACCGAGAGGCACACCACAATACACTTAGACTTGTAGGGAATCTCATGCGGCGTCAAGACGGGTAGCGAGGTACGAAACCAGGATACCCTGCGTGCGATTTTCGCATATGAGATTCTGTACACAACTGAATCTGCAACGTTCCACGTCACTGCCACACGTCCCCTCCTGGCCTCCCACCTCACCACCTAACAAATCTTTCCAGCCAATCGCTGCTGCATATCGTTGGAAACCGCGAAGGAAACCAATGCGCAAGAGTGAAGGAGGTGCTCGCATTGGTTACCAGGGAGAGAACTTTGCCCCTATAACTGCTATTACTTTAGGTAGTGCTACTTCTAGTAGTAGTAAAAGTAGTATCGAGAGCACCGTGAGACATCCCAAATACTGCATTCGGGAGGGGTTGATTTGGGGGTACGAATGCACCTGGATTTATGCTGGAGGGGGAGTACAGGGTGTGTTCAAACCACATGTGCACTGCCATGTATAGGTACATTACAGCCTGCATATACCAACCAATATCTGTTCGTGACATAGTGGGACATGCCCAGTATCAACACTGAACACACTTCGCATGAACTCTCTCTAGACTTTCCACGTGGCTTATACCCACTGCATGCTGGACATGCGCAGTGCCAACACAATTGTGACGTTCGATCGTTTCATACGCGAACAATCAAGTTACCTATGTTCTGTTTTCCCACATGCGATAAGAAAAGGGAAGAGCAACGTTACTGGCTAAATCTTATGAAGAAAAAGAAGTTGGAAACACTGCATATCCAGACGATGGGGGCGCTGCCTGAGGACATGCAATCATGATTCCTTGGGTCCTGCGGAAGAAGCGCCGTGGAAACCTTCCTTGCTTCCATCCTGCAAACTCACCTCGGGTAACCTCTAGGTTACCCCCTGGAGGCTTACCTAGAGGTATCGATGAGTTAATTTCGCAGGTATGAGGTCACCTCAGGTGTTACCAACAAGGTCACCACAGTTGCATATACAGGGGTAACATACACTGTACCTAAGTCCCCCCCAACAAACTTTGTAGGGGCGCAAGGAGGTGTTACCTTGAGAAGCTTTGATCGGCTGTGCATCGCACGGTGGGGAGACGAACGCGGCAACCCAAAGCACGGCGGCGAGCACAAGCCATGCCCGTGGCTGCATCAGAGTTGGCTTTGGCGGCGGCATTTGCGGCGTCGACGTGCCTCTGCAGTCTCTAAGGGATATGTTACGCACGGAAAAAAAAAATATTGCTGGAACGTAAATTCTAGCAGTAGTAGCACTATAACGGAAAACAAAACGCATGGGAAAGAAAGTCTTGGAGGGGGGAGAAAGGGTGGGCCGTCCTTGCACGCGCCACTCATTTTCCGTGATGTGCGACTTTGTTCCCTACGAACCTCGAAACAGTGCAGCAGATCCAGACGATGGGCGCGCTGAGCCTGAGCGCGTGCAATCATGATTATGGGAGTCGTGGGGAAAATGCGTAGGAACCTACAAGGTTTCCAGCATGCAAGCTTTTGATGGATTTCCCGCGGCAGCCTCTGCCTCCAGTAACAAGTCAAGTCTGGACATGCGTTGAAACCACCTCGACCCCCAAAAACGTCACCATTAACTCACCTCGGGGTAACCTCTAGGTTACCCCCTGGAGGCCACCTAGATGGCACTCGATGAGGTTGCCTCGCGGGTGAGGGGTCATCTCAGGTGGTATCAACAAAGTCACCACAGGTGCGCATACAGGGGTAACACACAACTCACCCGCAACTCATCCGCAACTCGGCCGCAAGAACCCTCACACACAACAGACCTGCTTTCTGATTTATCGATCGGCTATCATTGGCTCGATTCCAGGACTGCCAGTGCGCATGTGTCAGTGCCTTCCGATTGTTCACGCAAACATGAGGGTGGTGGATCACCGAACAAGTATAGCATGACTCATTACCGGGAAATTGATAATATTCTTGTAAATTTAGTACGTATATACCTTAGAATCATAACACTACACAACAATACCATACCGGCGATCGCACTGGTGTCTTCGGGTGGTGCACGAGAGGAGTGGGTGTGCGCTCAGGAGGACTGCGAGAAGGCTCATGGGTCCAGTTTCGAGAAGGCGGTGGAGCATGTTCAGTCGATCCGGCATGGTACTGGACTTCTCAAGGCGGGAGCGGCTACGCGCCAGAGCAAAGGAAGGCTGAGCCTCAATCAGACCCGGAAGGAGTACGGGATGTAGTTGGCCGGCAGACCTCCTCGCTGGGTTGTCAGCTGCCTGCATGTTTGGTGGGGTGGACATCAGGAGGAAGGATTTTGAACAAAGCAGACGGGAGACAGGCGACATCAGATGTAGCACGGCTTGTGGATGTTATATGCTGTATCACCCCTAATAAAGCCCGTGGATGTGAGGGGCTCGATGTCGAGTGGTTTAATGGGTAACACACCTTTCCTCACTATTTGCAGGGTCAACGTGAACGGCCTCGGTAGCAGTGGAAAACGCACCAAGAACAGAAGGTGGCTGAGAACGACAGCGGACATAATGGTGCTTTCAGATACGAGGATCAAGGAAGATCATAATTTCTGGAACGAGATTAGGCCAAAAGCTTGGGCTGCGGTAGGGCCGGGACAAGCTGCTGGCGGGGTGGCGATCCTGTCGTTCGGCAAGCACATCCGCTTCTCCGACGTGACATCTGACACAACAGGGAGGCTCTTGGGGGTGACAGTGGAAGGAGGGGAGGAGCCTTTCAGACTGGTTGCCGCGTACCTCCCTGCACAGGCCTGTAACAGGGCGAAGTTTCACAAGGAGCATCTGGAGCCTTTTGTGCTAGCTCAACCACAGTCGAAACATATGGTGCTGGTGGGAGACCTCAACATGATAGCAGACCCAGACCTGGACAAGTCGTCTGGGGTGGGGTCAGGAAGAGAGAATCAGCGGTTTCTCGAGGCATGGAGGACGCACGATCTCCGCGATGCCTTCCGGGTTCTGCATCCCACAGAAAGGGAATACACTTTCAAGGATAGGGCCTCACAGTCAAAGACACGCATCGACAGGGCTATGGTGTCCATGTCCTTGCTCGGCAACCTGGAAGGGGTGCGCCATGTGGCAGTGCCGAGGAATCTGACGGACCATTGGTTCGCTGTCAAGATAAGGCTGAAGTTCACCTCGACGCTCACGTACGGTCCGGGACTCTGGAGGTTCCATGCGACAAGGGGAAAAAGGAGAGGGGTGAGAAAGGTTATACAGGAAGTGGTGGAAGGTCTGAGCAAGGCAGGGAAGGTCTCTCTGGAGCAGGTGTTGCCTAAGCTCACGGCGGTTCTGCGAGCACACGAAAAAGAGGAGCGGAAGAGAGTTTTGGCCACCCAGCGACATCTTACGGAGGAGGTGGAAAGGCTAAGGCACATGATCATGGGTGGTTCGACGGATGACAAGACGGAGGCGCTGCTGCTGTCCAGGGAAGAGCAGCTGGAAGCTTACCGGGAGAACGAGAGGGAGAGACTAGAGGTCTTTGCAGGACTCGCGGCAGAGCTGGAGGGGGAGATCCCGTCACCACACCTCTCTGCTCAGATGAAGATGCGGAAAGACCGCACGCTGATCGAGGAGGTGCAGTTTAAAGGATCGTGCCGCAGGGGCTCCCAAGCGGTGTTGTCGGCGGCGTCGGAGTACTTTGCGGAAGCTTTTAAGGCGGAGGCGGCGGGTTCACAGCCGAGCGGTCTCAATATCCAGATGGACAGGAAGCTGCCGGGGGAGGCAGCAGACAGACTCAAGGCTCCATGGACGGAACTGGAGGTTAAGGCGGCTCTGGATGGGCTCCCGAAGGGGAAATCGCCAGGACAGGATGGTCTGCCGGCAGAGCTCTTTATCGGCCACTGGGATCTGCTCAAAAACAGTTTCATGGGTTTGGTCAGGAAGTTCGATGAAACGGGGAAGTTGTCGGATTCACTGACGACGGCGGTAACAGTCCTACTGCATAAAAAAGGGGAGAAGGATCTGCTCACGAATTACAGACCGATTTCGCTTCTCACCACTGTGTACAAGGTCCTTGCCAAGGTGCTGGCAAACAGGCTCAAGCAGGAGCTGCATTTAATCATCTCGAAGGAGCAACATGGCTTCATACCGGGCCGCAGCCTGGCGGACGCAGTGGCGGTGGTGGCGGATGCCATAGAAGCGGCAGACAATGACGGGGAGGATTGGTACCTCCTGCTGGTGGATTTCCAGAAGGCTTACGACACGGTGTCGCGGGATTTCCTCTTCAAAACGTTGGAGAAGCTCGGACTGCCGGCGCAGTTTGTCGGTTGGACGGAAGGTCTGCATCGGGGAGCAGGGACGAAGATGGCGGTTAACGGGTGGATCGGGGAGAAGGTGGAAATGCAAAGAGGGGTGCGACAGGGGTGTCCCTTAGCGCCATACCTGTTTTTATGCGCCCTGGAGCCACTGTGCGCGGAGATAAAGAGGCGCGGTCTGGGAGTCAAGGCGGAGGAAGGCGAAGCAGTGTCGTACGTGGGATACGCGGACGATACCTTGCTGATCCTCAAGGGCGCCTGGTGTTGAGGACCAGGGCGTTGGAGCTGTTACTAGTGCTGCGGACCCGAGCGTTGGAGCTGCTGCGGGTGCTGCGGACCCGGACGTTGTCACTGCTGCTGGTGCTGCTGACCCTGGAGCTGGAGGTGCTACAGGTGCTGAGGACCCGGGCGTTGGAGCTGCTGCTGGTCCTGCTGACCCTGGACTTGGAGCTGCTACTGGTGCTGAGGACCCGGGCGTTGGAGCTGCTGCTGGTGCTGCGGACCCGGGTGTTGGTGCTGCTGCTGGTGCTGTGGACATAGGAGATGGTGTCTCTTCTGGCTCTGGAGACACTACACGGCCGCGGCCGTACTTTGTTCCGCTCCTTCAGCAAGTTCTTGGTCAGCCTCCTCCTCGTCGTCCTCCTCCCTTCTTAGAGTGTCCTCTGTCTGTCCTGTCGCAGTCACAGCTGCCGCCTGCATCGCCCCTTCCTGGTCTTCCTCCCTACACTGGTCCGACAAGCGGTCTTACAGAGCGTCGTTAGCTAGAGTGTCGTTCTGTGTCGCATGTGTCTCGTCCTGCGTCACTTGTTCGTGCTGCTCGCACTGCTAGTCGTGTTCCGCGTGCGCGCCCTCCTGCTGTCCCCGGCACACACTATATGACTCTGCGTCCTTCCACTGCTCCCCAGCGTGTCCCTCTCCCGTCTCCTCCTGCGTCCTCTCTTCCTGCTCTTGCTGACCCGGAGTCTGACTCCCTTCGCGCTACCCATCCTACTGTGACGCGTCTCCTCACTACTGTTGTCACCGACCCTTCCTTTGAGTCCGCTGCTGCGTCTGCCTTAGTTGCTGAGCTTGTCGACTTTGCTGCCACGTGTCGTCTAGACTACGCTGCTAGCCTAGTTGCTGAGTCTGAGTCTGTCTGTCCTCCGTCTGTCGGGGGTGAGCGTGCTCTTGGCACGAACGTTCTTGAGGACAGGCAGGAGGAGTTTGAGTGTTTTGCTGCTGCTTTACCTCATCTCGTGTCCATGCTAGTTGCCCCCGAGGGAGATCCGGATGCACAAGACATCCCGACTCCTCGATCGTACGCTGAGGCGATCAAGAGTCCCTATCCCTCTCAGTGGCAGTCAGCCATGGACGCAGAGATGGCTTCTTGAAAGTCCACAGGTATCTACGTTGACGAGGTTCCCCCACCTGGGGCGAACATCGTCGGTGGTATGTGGATTTTCAGGGTGAAGCGGCCGCTGGGTTCTCCGCCTGTCTTCAAGGCGCGTTACGGTGCACGACGCTTTAGTGAGCGAGAGGGAGAGGACTTCTTCCAGACCTTCTCCCCGACCCCGAAGATGACCACTCTTCGGGTTGTGCTGCATGTCGCCGCTCAGCGTGACTAGGAGCTCCACTCTCTTGACTTCAGCACTGCTTTTCTACAAGGCAGCCTGCACGAGGAAATCTTACTGCGCCGCCCACCTGGCTTCACTGGGTCGTTCCCTCGTGGTACCCAGTGGAGCCTCCGGCGGCCAGTCTACGGTCTCCGACAGGCAGCGCGTGAGTGGTAAGACACACTGAAGACTACACTTGCGGCTCTTGGGTTCGCTCCCTCTACTGCTGACCCGTCGCTGTTTCTAAGCACCGACACTTCGCTGCCGCCGTTCTACATCCTCGTGTACGTCGACGACTTGGTCTTTGCCACTGCTGACACTACGGCACTCGCCCACGTGAAGTCGGAGCTGCAGAAGAGACACACGTGCACAGACTTGGGTGAACTGACAAGCTATCTTGGCTTGCGGATCACCCGGGACAGAGCACGGCGCACCATCACCTTGACTCAGTCACACATGGTGCAGCAGGTCCTTCAGCGCTTCGGCTTTATGTACTCCTCGCCTTAGACCAGTCCTCTGCCTAGAGGTCACTCGCTCTCAGCTCTGCCTTCGGATGAGTCCGTAGAGCCGAGTGGCCCGTATCCAGAGCTTGTGGGCTGCCTCATGTACCCGATGACCTGCAATCGACCTGACCTTGCATACTCTCTTAGCATCCTTGCACGCTATGTAGCTCCTGGCCGTCACTGGAAGGAGCACATGGATGCTGCTAAGAGGGTGTTGCGCTACTTGTGCAGTACGTCGGGCATGGGGCTAGTGCTTGGAGGACGAGACCGAGTTGTACTCACTGGGCACTTAGACGCTTCTTGGGATGACGACCAGGCTACTCAGCGGTCGTCACAGAGTTACACCTTCAGCCTTGGCTCTGGTTCAGTGTCTTGGCGTTCTACTCGTTCTTCTTTTGTTCTCAGCTCCAGTTGTGAGGCTGAGATCTACGCCACAGCCATGGCTGCACAGGAGTTATGCTGGCTCACCTACCTGCTGATCGGCATGGGAGAGCAGCCTAGTTCTCTAGTGCTGCACGTCGACAACAAGTCTACCATTGCCTTGTGTGAGGAGCACAGACTGGAGCACAGAACGAAGCATATCGCTCTGCGGTACTTCCTCGCTTGAGAGCTGTAGCAGCGTGGTCAACTTCGTCTGCGTTACGTGGCCACTCGGGCCAATACTGCTGATGTGTTAACCAAGGCGCTTCAGCCGTGTGACCATCAGCGTTTCTGTACTGTTCTCGGCCTTGTGCATACTTTCCCTCACTTGCTCACTTCTTGACTCTGCTTGTACTGTGATCTTTATATATATACCTGCATGCTTACACTTGTTAGGTTGTGATCATTGTATCTCTTGATATATTATCAAACTGCATGTGATTTGGTCTTGTGACCGCTTACTTGTGCTCGGAATTTGTGTGATATCCTTGAGATCCACCTTGAGCTTGTTTTCCCTCGCTTTGCTTTGACTGATCTTGTGACCCCTTGCTCTCCCCCACTTCGCGTCTGGGGGTGTGTCAAACATTACATATGTTGTAGTTCGTTAGGCTACAGTGGGTTAGCCTTTAGGGGGTTCACAATTCTAGGTTTAGGTACGTGTACTCACTTCTCTCTCAATTGAATCATGCATTCTCTAACACTAGAGATTCTGCTGCCCCAGGTGCTGGTGAGTCTGCTCTCTTAGGTACCACGTCGGCTCGGGCCTCCCACACCTTCACCCTTGACTCGGGTGCTTCCCGCTCCTTCTTTCGAGACCGCACCACACTCACGCCACTTAGTTGGCCAGTTGCGGTCTCCCTGGCAGACCCCTTTGGGGGTCCTGCCCTTGCCCACTTCTCCACTGTCTTACTGTGTCGGGCGGCCCCTTCTGGCACCCTGTCGGGTCTCAACCTCCCCTCGTTCTCTACGAACTTGGTGAGTGGTGCTGACCTACAGGAGGGGGGGGGGTTGACCAATTCACTCTAGCAAGTCAGTGAGTGACCCACTGCACGTGTGCTCGGACGGGCCGCCACTTGGCCACGTTTACCTGTCGACCAGGGTCGAGCCTGTACACACTGACTACTGAGTCTCCTCTGGTCTCTGCATCTGGTCAGGTAGCTGCGTCAGGTCAGGTGTTTGCTACGATGTCCAGGTCTGAACTGCGGCTGCCCCCTGCTCGTGTCGTCTCCTTTCTCACCAGACTCTCCTCTGGCACCACCGCCTTGGTCACCCCTCCTTGCCTCGTCTCCAAGGCATGGCCTCCCGTGTCCTTGTCTTTGGTCTCCCCCGGTCCCTCCCTCCCCTCCCTCCAGGGCCTGCCCCGACCTGCGTTCCCTGCGTCGAGGGGTGGCAGCGCGCCGCCCCTCACTCCTCAGAGTTTGCTTCGACAGAGGCTTCGCTGCAGACTCTTCACATGGATGTGTGGGGCCCCGCCCGCGTCCGTGGCTAGGGTCACGAGCGTTTCTTCCTGTTGGTGGTTGATGACTACTCGCGTTACACCACGGTGTTCCCCTTGCGCATTAAGGGCGACGTCACTGAGGTGTTGATCGACTGGATCCGCGCAGCTCGTCTCCAGCTCAGAGAGAGTTTCGGCTCGGACTTCCCTGTTCTGCGTCTGCACTCTGACAAAGGCGGGGAGTTTTCCTCTGCCCTTCTGGGAGCCTTCTGTTGTGCACAGGGCATCCGCCAGACCTTCACGCTTCCGGCCTCTTCACAGCAAAATGAGATTGCTGAGCGCCGCATTGGCATGGTCATGGACGTCGCTCGTACGTCCATGATCCATGCGGCTGATCCCCATTTTCTGTGGACGTTTGCGGTTCAGTACGCAGCCCATCAGATCAACCTTCAGCCCCGGGTCTCCTTGCCAGAGACCTCCCCCACCTTGCGGTGGACGGGGAAGGTTGGCGATGCGTGTGCGTTTCGTGTCTGGGGATCTCGGGCGTTTGTCCGCGACTTGTGTGCGGACAAGCTGTCCCCCCGTGCGGTTCCCTACGTCTTCCTTGGCTTCCCCCCTAACGCGCCTGGTTGGCAGTTTTACCACCCCACCTCGCGCCGTGTTTTGTCCTCCGAGGACGTCACCTTTGACGAGTCGGTTCGTTACTACTGTCTCTTCCCCTACCGCACTGCGCCCCTCCCAACACGGCCGCTCTTCCTTGCGCCAGGTCCCCCCCCCGGTAGACCCCCTCCCCCCTCAGGGTCCTGCCCCGTCAAGTGTGTCTCAGGTAGACGCAATTGACCTTGTCGAGGTAGCTGTTGACATTGGTACTGCTAGGGGTGCTCAGCCTGGGGGTGCTGAGTCTGGGGGTGCTGAGCCTTGGGGTGCTGAGCATGAGGGTGCTGAGCCTGGGGGTGCGGAGCCTGGGGGTGCGGAGCCTGGGGGTAGGGAGCCTGGGGGTGCTGAGCCTGGGGGTATGAAGCCCGGGGGTGGTGGGTCTGCTCGTGTGGCCTCTGGCGGTGCTGAGTTTGGGGCCCCTTCGAGTGCTTTGTCGAGGCGGGAGCTACCCTCTCCACGAGAGCTGCGCGAGTGGTTTTCCCGGCGTTGGAGCCGTGCTGCTGGAGCTGGAGGTGCTGCTGTTACTTCTGACCCTAGGGTTGGCACTGGAGTTTCTGGAGCCACTGATCCTGGAGGTGCTCGTACTAGCGGTACTGGAGCTGCTGGGCCTGGGGGTGCTGCTGAGGCTGCTGGAGCTAACGGTCGTCCTGGAGTTGGTTCT